TATGGGCATCCTGGGGCAGGTTCCCACTGGGCTTTCGCCAGGGGCCGAGGACATCAGCAGTGACAATCCCAGCTGGGCAGTGTAACCAGCCACATTGGGCAATGCTCCAGTGCCCGCTTGTTGCTCCCTGAGGGCACAAACAAGATCCCTTCCCCCATCCCAGCCCCAAAGGTGGAGAACAGGCTGTCCCCTTACCTGAACACAGCACTCCAGCATCGTAACGGTGATCACAGTCATGTTCACCCCATCCTGCATGTGCGCAGTCAGACAGGGCAGATTCGGTGCCATTACAGCCAACATCATCCATCCAAATGGGGCCAGATCCCTCACCAAAGTGTCCATACTGAGGAGCTCCAACAGCAGATCCACAGTCCAGCTGCTTACAAACCACCGCAGCATCGTCCATGTCCCAGACATCACCACACACGGTTCCCCACCGGCCCTGCTGTTTCACCTCCACTCTGCCAGCACAGCTCCTGTCGCCATCCGCCAGCCTCACCTCCACAGCCCCTTCAAACACTGACACAGGACCAGTCAGGACAGCACCAAGCTCAAGCACCGCAGGACTGGGGGAACCTCTGCCCAGGTAGAGTTAGCGGTACCCAGGTGGGAGCCCACTCCCCTCCAGGCTGGCCCTGGGGCAGGCCAGGGGTCCCTTCTAGCCCCACAGGCTGTGCAAGGCTCAGCTCCAGCCCTGCTGGGTCATTTGTGGTCCAACAGCCTTTGGCACCTTCTTCCACCCCGATGGCCCCCTGACCTATGCCCACCAGGACACCTGCTGCTGCCCAGCCAGCGCCTTGAGATGAGACCCTCCCCCATCAGGGCTCCTGCCAGGACACACTGCTGCTCCTCCCCAGGGCCCCCAGCTCCCCCAGACCACAGCCTGCCCGGGGCACTTCCCAGATCATCCTCTGCCCTCAGGCCTTTCTGTGTGCCCTGTGGAGCAACAGGATGATCCCAGTGAGCCCTCCCAACCTGTGCCCCCTCCTTGTCCTTGGGCATCAGCACAGCCATGCCCTTGTCTACCATCCCCCAGGGAAGGTCACCTCTCTGCCAGGCTATGGCCACAGACAGTCCCTTGTCTCCAGAGGCACAGCCTGTCCCCCCTCAGGCTGAGACTCACCCCACTGTCCAACAGCCCACCCTGAGTC